GCAACTTGTAGATTGCCGACTTTGGCTGCGTAGTACAACGGTGTCTGTTTCACCTTGTCATGCACATCCACATCTACACCCTTGTTGATGCAGACTCTGGCTAGCTTCAAGGCACCTGGCTTCAGGCGTGCAGCAGCAAAAAAAAGGGCTGTCTGATTCAAGCGTGGATCCAGCTCTTTGATGTTTGTCTTCTCAAGGGCCTGCTGCGCAACGTCAAGATCAGCATCCCTCACCAAGTCAAAGCGATAAGTGACTTCCAACCATAATGCTTCGGCCATCTCGGCGCTGTCAGAAGACTACGGCTAATGACAATGATAGCAGGTGCCATCAACTGTTTAGGGTGGGTTGCTTCCAGGAAGAATAACCCCCAATACCGATGCCAGTATCAGTCGTTGAAATATGAAGCTTGGCCAGCCGTAAACGCGTCACAAAATTAAGGTCACGGTGCCTTCTTTGGAGACATTGACAGCAAGGACCATGAGGATTAAGAGAGTCTGAAGCCCTAAACGCAAGACAATTCTGAGACTTGGCAAGATACCGTAAACCCTAAACCCTTATGCTGTGAGCCAGAGTCTGCCAATCAGGGCCGAAAAGTACGACAGAGCTGCAATGAATGCTGTGAATCATTTCCCGTCCCGCCACCCGAACACGAGGCATCTGCCCTAACAATAAACACTCTCCCCTTAATAATAATAATCATATACATAATGCCAGTATATGATGTCATAGTGTATCATAGGAGATCTTTTATTTGGGGGAGGGGGGGGTATGGATTTGGTTGTGTAGCAGAAGGGTACCATATGCCCGGCCTGATGTCGCCACGATTCGCCCGGGCCTGCGCGTGCAGAGCATCCATTCCTCTGTTCTTGGAAACTATTTTATATCCCTGAAAAGACACATATGCCTTTATATGACCTCCAAAAAGAATCCTTAACAACAGACCCCTCTCTGTGTCCAGCAGAATCCTTTGCCCCAACATTAGAGGGCCCCCCGCCACCCTAATGTAAATCCTCCTGACCCGTATTCAATATTAGGGGAGGTGTTCATAGTACGACCCGAACATTAGGGAGGGGGGGGATATAATCGGATACGATTGAAATCGGATCAAAATCGAATTTAAAAACCCATTCGATAATCTAATAAAAGGAGCAGTAAAATCGTATAAAATCAATAAAAACCAAATTAGAAGCAATTGACAGCTAATTAAAAGGCAAATAGAACCAACTTAAAATCGGCTTCAAAACGTAAATCAACCAATTGAAATTTACCTAATATCCAGTCAAATTTTAATTTCAATCTCATTAGCACCCATTGAAATCTAGTCAAAGCATAATTCGAATCTAGGGTTCAAAAAAGCATAAAGTCTGAATGAATACAGTTAACGTCGGATTGAGATTTTAGATAAATTCTGTATAAACAAAACTGTTCAAAAACAATGAAAATCAAGGACATCAAGGAGATCGTTACTCCGTAAGCCTTAAGAGACATGCTAATGACCCCCCTAATTTAGAGCATCCGAGCCGTAATTAACTTTAGTCTTCGCCCTTTCGAGGCTAGTCTTGTAGGCAGATTTCAGACTTTGGAATTCTGAGGACCCCTTACATGATATTGAGGGGGTTCCAAATTAGAGGGAGGGGGTAAGTCTCCAAAGCAGTTCGAACAGGGCCTCCAAAGTGATGAAAGTATCTGTGCGTATGCATACATCAAAGAAAATGTAAAGCAACGCCATCAGGGGTCATGTGGTAGGTTGTCAGAGGTGAAGGTCCCTTTCTAAGAGCCCTCAGTATCATTAGCGGCCGTAATACAATGGGGGCTCAACAGGAGACCATACTTGACAACCTTCCAGGAAGGCTCCCTCATGCCGGGGCGTTTCATTAGAGGGAGTGGATTACAACTTTGACAAAACCGACGACTTCGTAAGTCAGGTCTTTCTAACAAGGCACCGGGGGCCGAGATGGTAGTCATGAGAAGACTAACAAATTAGGGTTTAGGGTTTCAGGGCTCAGGGAACCCTAAACCCTAAACATGATGTTCACTACCCAAGGTGTAGGGTTTAGAGTTCAGGGTCTCCTTTTTCAAAAGTAAGGACAGGCTAGCAACTTACCTGTTTTGGTAGGGAATACGGGAGCGCCATCGTTATTTGATATTGTTGAGGGTTTTAGGGCTTAGGGTTAATGTCATCCCCATATGATCCCTATATGACATGTGCCCTTTTTCCCCACCTTCGAATTATTTCAGATTACGCAGAGAAGCCGTGGGTGGGTGGGTATTTATCAGGGGAGGGGATAAGCCCCCAAAACCCACAGAACGAACAGCTGGCGAAGCCAACCTCCGCAGCCCTCAGGTCATCCGAGTCCTGCTCCTGGAGCTTTGGGATTTATTGAATCTACTTGGAGGTTCAAGGTAACCGAACCTAAACCCTAAACTAACCATAACCAAATGACCAAGCCATGATTATTCTTGCATGACCCAAAGATAAACCCTAGAATTCCCTTTCACACTTGGTACCCTAGCATACTACAATCCTTATTATAGAGACCCCCAGAAAGGCACGCCTAATTTTGGGAACCCCGACTTGGGTTATACTTACCCTGAACCATCAAGTTCTAGACTCAAAAGCACACCTGTAGACCCTAGAGGTTTATTCCCACAATTCCTTTCAGAACTACTATTTCCTACTATCATTGTTAATACTGCTGCTATTGCTACTATTCACTACTATTTCTACTACTGTACCTTCAACCCTAATCCTAAACCCTCAGCCCTTATCCCTAAACCCCCCCACCCATGATTATTACTAGTCTTCTTCTTATTCGCACGATGACCATTTCTTCTTCCCTAAGCCCTAAACCCTTTAAGGCAGGCATCGGCTTTTTCACTTCAGACCCGCCGCTGGGGGGACTTTTCACAAGGATCCTGCGTTTGCAGCCCATATGAGCTACAGTCCATATTTCCCGGATAAGTAATGGTTTAACTCAGGGTTTAGGGTGTAGGGACAGTAGTTCATGAGTCTACGGACTAAACTTATGTTGGCGGGAAGCCTGTAAGGGGACATAAGGGGATGTCTTGACCAGTTCATGCGCTCACTACCAATCAACGAACGCTTTCTTCTGATTCTTGGAGAAGGACTCAAAAGGGAACTGCAAAACTACCATACGCAATGCATGGGCGTCATTATAACTAGTCCAAAAACACGGAGAAAAAACAACAGCGCTTTACCATGCGCCTTGGGTTCTGATCCTGCCAGTTTCCACTGGATCGTCAATTTTTCCATCTGATTCTCCAATTTTGGGGTCATATCCCTTTACCCCATACATCCCGGTATATTCCAATCTTGGCAACTATGGCAGAGCTCCTCTTCGGCATCCACCAGGGCCTCAAGAGGCTCGGACTTCTCCAGTGCTCCTTTCACCAATGGAGGTGCCGGCTTGCCTAAACCCTAAATAACCCTATAATATAGGGTTTAGGGTTTAGGGATTAGGGTTTGGGATTAAGGTTTAATTAGGGATTGGGAATGAGTTAGGGTCTAAGGGTCTAAACTCCTAGTATCCCCCTTAATCACCCCTATAATCGTCCCCAATATAGTCCCCTATATAGCCCGGTATATAGCCCCTCTAAGGAGTTTATTTAGACAATAGCTCAAATAATCCCAAAAGCAGAGGCGTGATTGAGAGTGATGCTCTGGAGATGCTGTTAGAGGGCATCCACTGTCTATCTCCTGCAGGCGAGGCCCCTAAACCCTAAAGCCTTAAGCCCCTAAATCCCTAAGGCCTTAAACCCCGAAACCCTGAAGCCTCAAACCCCTAAACCCCTAAAGCAATCCATGAACCCGCAACCCCCCTAGTTCACGCCTAACTTCCCCCAGACCACAGCGCCTCAGCTTACTGTTCAGACTTGGGGTTATACAGGGCATAATGTAAAAGAACATGGAAACTACAGCATAATGTCTGGAGCATTTAGGATTCCGGGTGGTCCCAAGCCCCTTGCTAACTGGTTCCTCGTAGGCAGTATGGTAATGTGGTATATAAGGCTTATACAGGGATCACATAGGGTTTGGGGTTAGTAGGGAATAGGGGAATAGTATGCAGGGATGGCATTCCCTTATTCCATACTAAGAACCAGTAAGCTTGACCTAGGGGCCCTCCCAACTAGAATAAAGCCTTGGGCTGCACTCCTTTAAAATTCTCATCCTTACTTGGAAGCCAGTGAAGCTGCTTGCATTACACAACCCTAAAACCCTAAGACCCTAAACCCCTAAACCTTATACCCTAAACCCTAAAATCTAAAACCCTAAACCTTATAAACTAAACCCTAAAACCCTAAACCCTTAAACCTTAGCCCCCTTAGAGGCCTAGAGCCCTAAAATCGTCAGCCCCTAAGCTGCCGTCACAGCTCCTGCGCGGCTACTGAAAGCGCCACGT